CAATGTCATCAGTGCAAACCTCTTTCTGTGGCAGGCGCTGGTCTGCGCCTTTATATTGAGAGAGAGTTCTTCAATTTTTGCAGTAGAATTCAAAGACCATTTTGTCAGTGATTTCGTTCTCTATTTGGTTCCTTTGACCTACCTGATTGGAATACCACTGCACAAACTGGTGGTAAAGTTCCGACAATGGCAGTTGCAGAAAGCCAGCTCACTCACTAGTTCACTGCCGCATCGTCTGGTCCATTCTGACCAGTACCGACATTGACTTTCATCATCTTAACCCCCAAGAAGATGCTTTGTAGCTAGTTTGTACTGGATCAGTTCTTAATATGTGAATCATTGTAGATTGTGTACTCTTAATGATGTCTTTATAATAATGAAGGGACAATATTATGTAACAGGCTGGTCGGGGTGGCATGCGAATTAAATACCTGAGTGCAGGAATGCATAATAATTATACATGAAGGCACCGACAACTAACTAGTTTAAGATGCATAACTTTACTCACTCTGTATCAATGTGCACATAATGAAACTTCGTCACAGTCCGTCTCACAGAGTACTCGAAACAATTGCAAGGCAACACACGTGAATGTTGAACATTGTATTTGTCCTGTGTGTAATGTTGACATAACTTTCACTGCTTATCCTCCTGATTTCAAACATGCCGACATTACAAGCTCAGTTTTTGGAGTATGCCGTTGCTGTTTTTTCCACATGAATGTTGAACATTGTATTCGTCTTGTGTAATGTTGACATCACTTTCACTGCTCTTACCCTTGATTTCAAACATGCCGACATTACAAACTCTGTTTTTGGAGTATGCCGCTGCTGTTCTTTTCGTAAGCAATGCTGGTTTTTTAATTCAAGCCAAATCACAGTCAGAGTCGAGTCATTGTGTTTGTAGGCCAGAATATTCATGCCTTGGTCATTTTCGGAGAACAATGGACATCAAAAACCTCTTTGGCTGATGCTTTTATATACAGTCTTGCTGATCAACAAAGATTGTTGGCATTCTCCAAACATTACATGGTGCTGACCTTGACAGCAGGAGTGGGGAGGAGCCTAGGCTCCAAACCACAAACGTCTGGGCATGGTCAGCAGCACATACCAGTGGCAAAGCCTTGTGGGGATGAATCTCATTAATTCAGAACCACAAGTGCTGCGCTCAACTTAGCATTTATAAACTGTGATGCCAGAGAGAGAGTTGTGGTATGCTCTGCTAATGAGGGCCAACAAGCCCGAAACAGCTGTCTAGAGCTGGCATCTTTTTTCTTTTGGGCATCACATGATTTTTTCTACATGTGTACATCCTTATGGTAACAGTGGCCTCTTTGTGATCCATCAGTGGTGTGTGTGTGCTGCTTCATAAAAAAGTGTGAGTTTCTTGAAAGCTGGTCTTTGGCTATTAATTTTATACACTGTTTCTGGGGTGTTTGAAAAGTGAATTTTCCTATGTGGCTTAACAGGATCCTTCGTCTATGTTCACTGAAGATTTTTAGGTAAGATGTACAGAATTGGAGATTTCTTTTGGTGCTGGTGAGATGGAAGTTATGTTGAATACGTAGCCCATCTTTTACCAATTCCGAGACTCATTCCTCATCGGAGAGACGGTCTCGAATTTCACCGACTTCAAGACAGACAAGGGTGAGTCATCAAAATCCTTTTTGGCTGATGCTTTTACAGACTTGTACAATTATCTCCATCGGTGGAGTATATGTACTGCATCACAAAGAAATGTGAGTTTCTTAAACGCCAGTGTTTGGCTATTTATATGATGTCTCTGGGGTGTTCGAAATGGGCATTTTCCTACACATTTATATGGCTTAACCGGATCCTTTGACTACGTTCACTGAAGAGTTGCAGGTATATAAGACGTACAAAATTGGACATTTGTGTTGGTGCTGGTGAGATGGAAGTAATGTTGAATACGTAGCCCATCTTTGACCAATTCCGAGACTCATTCTTCATCAGCGAGATGGTCTGGAATTTCGCGGACTTCAAGACAGACAAGGGTGAGCATGTAAGTGGTGTGCTCATTAATACAAGATGTGTGAGGCTATGTATAATTATACATAAAACTCAATGGGAGTAAGGCAGAGCAAAGGCAAAAACAACAACACATGAACTTTTGACAACTCTTTTATATACCATGGATTTGGAGAGCTACAGATTGTAGGTCTGCTTTATCTAACGTGAAAGGTACTCAGACTCCTAAGCATGCAAATGACTTTAACTTATTTATTCACAAAATAAGTTATAAAAACGCTATGTTTTGCGGAAGACATTAGAGAGCATGTAGCAATTATATTTCTTATTATGGGAGTTCATCAGTGCGGTGATTCCTGTCTTGTGATGACAGTCGAAATGCAGCTACGAAACCAAAGCTGTCTCTGTACTGGTCAGAGTGCAGCAGACGATGTGGCAGTGAACTGGTGAGGGCGTCTCCTCTCATCTTTTGCTGGATCTTCCTGATCAGCTGCTGGTGTAGGACTACTCCAATGATGTACCATAGAGGAACGCAGCCCAGTAATGCAGTGGTGATGTAATGGTCAGTCAATCCTGGTTGAAACAATAGCCTCTTTGCACCACGCCATAAGCCAGCTTGCGATTCTGCTCCGCGCGCGTGCGCGAAGGAATATACGACTTCTTACGATGTGTGGCCTAACCGCATCGCACGTCCTGTTGTTTGGTACTAATTACAGTTTTGTTACGTTTGGCGTTCCATGCGTCCGTATAGACGCGTCAGTACATTCTTCTACTGTGTCATGTGCAGTGATTAGAATTTTGTGCACCTGAGGTGATGTGGGAAATCGCTCCCGCTCGCTAAAGGTTTCGTAATAATTCTAAATATCACGCTAACTTATACGAACAGTCTGCTGCGCTGTGGGACACGTTGCCTGGCGTGCACAACAGCGGCTTGTATTTGCGCAACTCTGTCGGTGCGGACACATCACATGCACCCTCCGGTCCCCACTATACAATTCTAGTTTCTGTCGTTACAGTCTCTGGCTTCCCAGCGCAATAGTGTGGTACGATTTCCAGGAATACTTTAGGTTTGAACACATACCACTCAAAGCATGCATGTCATAGATAATTATACACGTATACATAGTGATAATCTATGGTAGTGTATACTTGGAGCCAGCCATAGCCGGCCTAGTTCGCCACAGCCCTGCGTGTGAAGGTCTATGCGTATACCTACTACACCTGAGCAACCGAAAATATAAAAAAATGTCCCGAAATGAAATGTACATCGTGTCCATGGTCATCAAAGGAGCTAGACCCATTGTACACTTATAAAACTTACTGTTGCATATGACTCCAGCTTCTTCCCTTCTTACTTGACAATCATGGCTACTGTAACACCATTGTGCCTACAGCCAATTAGCATACTTTCATTTCCACTGCATTGGACTTCATGCAGGTGATATGATAGTGATGTGTTCAAAGTATAATTATTAAAACTTTGTGGTGTAACCAAAACTGGTGAGGCGGTGAAGAAGATCAATAGCATAACAGTTGTACAAAACCTCACCTCCATCGTATCCCAGTTGTCGACACACAACTCGAGCATCTTTGACATCCCAGCCATCTTCACACACCGAGCCACCCCATTGAGACATACCTCTACTCTGCCTTCCATTTCAGTCCTGCCATCAGCTAATCTCACGGTTCCGTCAGAGCATAAATGATTCGAAGTTACTGAAGCAACAAATAAACGCTCTATACAGATTAGCTTTAGCTATATACCTCACCGGCAACACACTGGAGCAGTAGACCTGCTACACGCAGGCTCCACATTGCCATGATGGCTAAAAAGAGCCCTTCGCTGCCCTCCCGTTTTTATAGCTACTGTCTGAATCTTGTTAGCAACTAGTTAATAGCCTTCGAATGCATGCGAGAAGAGTATAGTATTACGTTGCATTTTTGCCAGTTTGTTATTCGCGGGGGGTATATACCAGGTGGTTCATCGCCCATCCCCTTATTCTGACTTCACTTCCCGCCCGCCATCATTATGGAAGATTCCGGTTTGATTCCCCTCGAAACCGAACCCACTTTACGTCTTGCTTGCGAGACTAACCACACACAGCGAGCATAGCCTACCTTAGCTCTACATCGCGCCAAACTTAGGATAGACTGACGGTCAAGTTTGAGGTATATACATGGGTGCATGCGCAGAAAGCGCAGTAGCTAGTAATTTTTTTGCGGGGGTGTACGTTGCACGTTGATTGATAGGTGTGGCCCGTGGCCCGTGACCTGTATATAAACCGGAAATCAGATTCCACTGGGGCTCTCCCTGGGGGTTTCCATCAGTTGCCATCAGTTTCCATCAGTTTCCATCAGTTTCCAGCACTCCGACAGAATGAAGTGGTTCCCCGTTTGGTATCCAGTTTCAGCTTGCGTTGCGCAGTCGACGGCCGGGGTAATTAGCGCGGTCCTGGCCCTGACATGTACAACATTCACCGGTTAGTTGCCTCGCAGTAGTGTTTGGTATATCTAACATGTTTGTGACCAAGTCAGTGTTTACTGATGATCTGATGTGAGAACCACTGCTTGCTTGCTTGCTTGCAGGGTGCCAAGCCGTATGTGATACCTACGGGAGTCGTCCTATGGCCGTCATAGGAGAGAAATTCACACTTCAGTGCACCATCCACTGCTTCAGTTTACAGTACAAGTGGATTTCCGTAACAGAAAGTGCCAACATCACCCTGGAGAATGAGACCAGAGATATGCTGAATGTATCTAGCAATGTTACTTCAGTGGGGGAGGTGGGAGGCAAGTTGTACGAGTGTCAGTGTGTGAGTGGAGGCTGTCTACTCTTCAGAATTGGAGGTATAATCTCTCACTAATGGGACAAAAAAACCTAACCTTATGACCTCGTAATGAGATTCATACAAATATAATATATATTATGCTGAGTCATTGTTATTGTAAATAGCTATATAGGTATTGTGATAGATAACAGGCTCAAGAGATTGACTCTACAGTTCATCAGGGCACTCTCCGTACTTTCTTTGCAGTGAAGCCTGTAGGTCATCTATTATTTTCAACCAACACAACCAAAACTGGGGGCACAGTCAATATAACCTGCAAAGCAGACGGTTATCCATCCTATTTCAGTTTCGAAGTTACCCACGAAAATAACCAAATCCGGACCATCACCTTGCCGGGAAGAAGAGGGGTGTACTTTGTGATAGAATCAGCCTCCAAGAATGATTCTGGGGAGTATGCATGTTACCCTGAGGCTACACTCCAGGAGTATCCTAATGATCCACTACAGGGGAATGCTGCCAAATTCCGCCTCACTGTCTATGGTGAGTTAAACTCATTTAGCAACTAGGGTTGAAGCAACTAGGATTAGAGAGAGAGAGAGCAGCTCCAGTCAGTTACTAGTTGGTTTGCTTTAACGTCATGAACCGAAGCCGCCGGAGTAACTTTTGCATCACATACTTTTGATCCTCTTCGAATATCTGTCCCCAGATCCGCCATTAATTTCATGTATTGAGGAAGAACAGCCTGCAGTCCTGGAGTGTGCTGTAGATAACAGAGAGGATTGGCTGAATGTCTCAATCAGTTGGACAACAACTGGCGACATGGAGATCACAGCACCTCACACAGTAGTAGAGGCCAACAACGTGTCCTACTTGCTGCTCCATCAAATCTCCAACAGGACAAACAATGATTCTCTATACACTTGTAAAGTTTTCTCCAAATTTGGTCTGGAGGATCAAAGAGTTCTTCAAGTGAAACTTTCAGGTAGCTAACGTGTTTTAATACTAGTGGGTGCTCATCAATCTCTTTGTTAATTTTGCCACAGACCCTGCCTGCAGCAACACTACCTGTCCAGACACACCAGCTATTGATCCCGGTAAGCCTACTATCGAGAAAGCCAAGATAGTAACACTCAGATTCCAATTCTGCTGTAGATAATTGTGGCTGTGACGATGAAGATCTTTATCACAACTATTTTCTCATTCCAACACCTGTACTGTCATTTCTTGTTGGTGTGGGGTTTGGTTGGATAGTAATACTATTACGTAGTTATGTGTGGAAGAAGTTTCTTCATGCCTACTTTATTAAATTTGGGATACAAATTAACGATTCTGCACATAATATTTCTTCTGCTGTAAAAGAAAAGTTGTAATCATTGATACATCCCTCCTGCTTCTACATTGCCACCAGCAACAAGTCTTACTTTAGCTATATACTGTTATTGAGTGTAAGTCACCCTACTGTATGCTAATAGTTGTTAATCACTCTCTCACAACGTTTTGTATGAATTTACTCTGCACATGACTCTTTATACTATAAACAGTGTCTCAAGTAAAAGTTCCCTTTCTTATTTTCAGATTTCTCCCCAAAATCATCATAATTATAAAAATTACCCTCGGCTAACTGCGCGTGCGCGGTACCGGGCTGGCCTATCACTAGTAGCTCGCGGAGAGTCTGACACGGGCTAGCTACAGTAGTAGATAGCATGTGGGAGTCGGTACACGCCCTTCGTTGTTGCTTCCTGTGCCTCCGAAGTACACAGAGCAGGCGGATCAGGTCGAGGTAAGCCAGTGCTAATTAGCATAGCTATTGGCTTTTCCACTTGGTTTTCACTTCTGAACGCCGCACTTTTACGAAAATCGCTATTAATCCAATCAAGCCAGTGTAGCGCTGAACCCATTGGTGTGGTTGTTTGTGCACGTGGTGGCAGAAAACGTGGTAACACAGACAGACAGACGGACGGACGATCAGTATCCGTAACCCTCGATGCGCATGCGCGCCGAGCGAAAAGCATAGTATATACTGGTATGACAAAACAAGGTGACACACGTTTTGCAGCTTAGAAAATCCCTTCACTTTCCTCCGTTGTACATAATCAGCAGTTTTGATTCTGGTGAAAAACCTGAAAGTCATAAAAGTATTTGACAACAAAAACCAAAACACTGCACGTAGCTATAAGTGCGTCCTTTCCTGCATGCACGTTGTTAACTATATACATACTGGCTAAAGACTTAGCAATAGCAAGCACTCACTCAATTGTAACCAGAGCCTTCTCTATTTCTTAAATGCTTTATGCATTTCAAAAAAACTGGATCTATTGATCAACGCCACCAACGAGGGGGACGTCTGGCCGTGCGGGGGAGGGCACGTGCATGCGTCAGTGTCAATCTTGATCTTGCGTATACTGTACTATATGCCCGAGTAATCGTGGGGGAGGGGCTCGTCGGGTGCAGAATTTTGGCTGGAACATGCAGAAGAACTTTACTGAGAGGATGCTGGAGCGGAGAAGGTATATACGTATACCTGGCCACATTAGACCAACGGTGATGGTCGGCTCCAGCGTGATTTTACGCCTGTGTATAGTAGCAAATGTGGGTACGGTCTGCGTGAGTGTTGGGTGGCGACTTTCAGCTAGTCGTAGCTAGCTAGTTCGAATAGTTATGCTGGTGGATGTGGAGTTCTCGACAACGGGGCCATCGTACTAGCTGTTGATTGGCATGGTGAATAATAATACCTCTGCAGGTTTCGGCAGAGGCAGTACAATCCTGCACCCCCTCCCACTCCCTCCGGACCACGAAATGGGACCTCCACACTCCCCACAACCTTTCAACTGTCTCCCCCTCCTCACCTCTCCACCACAACCTCGTCCTCACTCCACTCACCTGCCCCACCTCGCTCCACCCTGACTCCCTCCCACCTGTCCCTCCACTCGTCCCAGGCACAGGAACAGCTCCAGATAACTTCAGTCAAAGTCTCCTGTCAGGAGACCAGCTGTGACAACCACACCCAAAGATTCTTTGAGTCAGTAGTGATACATAGCTAGCTACCCAAGCTCTGTAGGTAGCTGACACAGTGTAGCAACTAAAATAGAAAGCATGGCTGCAAGTAAAGCTCCTTATCTTCTCACTCTCTTTTCAATTCACTTCCACTTTTCTCCCACATTGTTACAAACAGGTAGGTAACACCGCTAGAATAGTAAAGCATGACCACAAATAACGCTCTTTGTCTTCTCACTCTCTCTTCTCTTGCTCTCTCTGCCCACACCTCCATTTTCTCCCATAATATCAAAAGGTATGGAAGCTGTACAGAGTATGAGGCACTTCTTCGAAGAGGAGACACTCTCATAGTCCAAGTGCTCACCTCTCTCCCCCTGTCCTCACCCTACACCCTCACCCTCACCTTCATCTCTGCCTATCGCTCCAACGACCGCTTCGGCCAGTTCAGAGCAAAGGGCTCCGCTTCAAATTCCTCAGAGCTCTGGTTCAGTATCACTCTGCCTCCCAACTTCCCTGTGGGAAAGTTTCATTACCATGTCCACCTGTCCACCAACAGAGGAAGGGACATTGCAACCCACCACCACAACAAGGCAGTGGCTGTGCTCTTTAACCCATGGCTCTCTGGTATGTTTACCTTTCTTACATAGAATTGCTCTATATGTGACCAAAGCATTCAACAACCTGCTCTTTGTTGTTACATTTACTGGTGCATGAAAGTAGAGACATAAAAACTTTCCTCCTCATCATAGATGACGATGCATATGTTGAAAATGAAGATGACCTTGCAAACCACTTGATCAATGAAGTGGGCACCATTTGGAAGGGCATGGCGAGGCAACCACGCCCACTTTTGTGGGAATATGGACAAGTAAGTATATAGCAGGGCATCACAACTATCACCTAACTTGTCTACACTAACCATCATTGATCTTTGCAGTATTCCCAAGGTTGCCTGGGTGCAGCACTTCATCTACTCCAGGGACTTAGTGCAGACGACAGACGTACAGCAGCCACTGTTACCAAGTCCATAGTGGCGCAGGTTAATATCATTCATAACTATGACTGTATGTGGGCTGGAATGACAGTGTTTGAATATTGTTTGCATTGTGGCACAGCTAAATTCACTGACGTTCAAAATCATTCATGCCTACTATGCATGTATGTAGGGCTGGAATGACAGTATTTGAATATTGTTTGCATTGCTACATTCAGACCCTTAAACATGAAATCGGCAGACGAATAACAATTTAAATGGGTTTTTGCCAATACTGATTTCCCCGCGTATAAAAGGGGTGCATAGTCACAGGCAAATCTCATGTTATATTGACCATTGTACGAGAAAACAGTGAGTTTGCAAGAAGCGTCTTTGTTTCTCAACTGCACGTTAAGCCGATCAATCTGTATAATTATATCTGAACAGGTCAACAGTAGAGATGGGAGAGGGGTAATGAGAGAGTGTTACACAGGGACGTACACAGGAGGTGTGGCTCCGTGTCGCTGGAACGGCTCGCCTGCCATCCTGCAACGATTTCACCGCAGCCAGCAACCTGTCAGGTTAGCTATTCCCTTCTTCTTCATGTTTCTTCGCATGCATACTAGAGTACTACAGAGCAGAAACACATGCTGAAACCTCACTTTTTCTTGGTGTAGGTTTTTGAATGAGTAATTTTAATAGCATCATTGTCGGCCAAAAATTATGCATGTTAATCCTCACCCTTGCACTGAAGATGACCTTTGCTTGCCTAGACTGTGGGTTTGAATCCCACCTAGGGCAACTCGTTTTTTTCCTGGAAAAAAGAGCTGTCCTGGGTGTAGTTGACTTGTTTGTTGTGCCTTTGCCTTTCTACCTCTTAGTTGACACGGCATAATAGAAGAAACCTTTTCATCTATAATGCAGCCTCTTTCTGTTCTTCTAGCCTCGTATTAGAACACTCCCAGACAGTGTTGTGCCTACATCTTCAAGAGATTTACTTTCTATTCCACATGTAGCTCACATTTATACATGTATATAATGATTGTGTAATGTGTTCTGATGCAGGTATGGCCAGTGTTGGGTGCTGGCTGGGGTAACAGTGACCCTCCTGAGGGCCCTCGGGATAGCGAGTCGACCGGTCACCTGCTACGAGTCTGGTCACCACTGCAGCAAGCCAGGCCAGCTGGACCTGGCCTTCTCTCCTCAGGGAGAACTGCTTCACACAGCCACCCAGGACCAGCTCTGGTCTGATCTGCCAAATCAGCTATTACAACAACCACCCACCAAGTCTCAATCTTTCATCTCTGTGCCTTTAAAGGGGCCAAAAATAACGAAACTTAAACCATAGGGCCCAGTGCAACAATGTAATTAGGTTTCCGCTCTTCGTTAAAAAAAGTCATTATGCTGCCACTTCATTGATATTCGTTACAGTACACATAAATTATTGATAGCCCGATGAGTGGAGATATTTCTGTGTGTGCAGGGTGTACCACGTGTGGGTTGAGGCCTGGATGAGAAGAGATGACCTCCCATCTGGAAATGATGGCTGGCAGGTACACAGACATAATAGCCAGCTTGTGTGAGAATTTTATTCATCACATTGAGCTAATGTTGATACTAAAGTTATTTGGTATGAGCATCTAAGGATGGGATTGCCTCACCTCAGAATATTGTATCTATTTAATGTGTAGTGTAGCTTCTCAAGAATACAGTGGAACCTCCAATAAAGAATATTCCGAATAAAGGACATAGTATAGAAAAACCCCAGGACACACTTTGAGGTCCCAAATTTTCACTATGTATAGAGAGACCTCCCTTTAAGGGACAAATTACACGTGTCCCAACGTGTCCATTACTCGGAGATTCCACTGTGTTACAATGTGTTTGCTATAGGCAGGTTATTACTGTCTTCAGTGTCTTGCTCACTACTCAAGTTGTCCATCATGGTGATGTGTATAGGTACTGGACCCCACGTCCCGCAGGCAGCAGGGAGGGGTCTATTGTGTAGGGCCAGTCCCAGTAGCCAGGGTAAAGAAGATTACCTGTGAGGAGGTGGTGGGGGGAGAGGGTGGAAAGGAGGGAGAGGAGGAGGAGGGAGAGGGAGAGGAGGAGGAGGGAGAGCTGTTGAGAAGACAAATGGGACGGACTATGTTGTGTCCGAGGTGAACTCTGACCTCAGGTTCCTGCGAGTCTCCAAGAGCTACGCCAGCATCACCAACCAGATCATGGCAGTGGCCCTCGTCCGCCATGGTGAGGTCGGAGTTCGTCTCATTGCCGGGGTTGGCATTGGTTTGGACGCAGTTGATGTCACCAGTGACTACAAAATTGGGGACGGGGACAGTTCAAGAAGCCCCGCCCACTTTCCCGTCGAGGGATTGCTCAGTGGAGGTGGTGATGGGTGATGGGGGGAAGTTGGGGGAGGCAGTGGAACTAACAGTGACTGTGAGCAACCACGGCCACCTCCTGAGGACACTGGATGGCAGAGTGGAGGGCCACATTGTCAGGCAAGGACTCGAAATATAACTAACCTATGCCTGCATTTACATACTTACCTATTGGCACCTCCACTGCATCACTAATGACCATCCATGCCTGCACTTACACTCTTACATTACTCTCTTTATACTTACACTGCCCCAAAACAATGTTTTTCACTTTCTTGGAGGAGAACTTGCGGCTTTGTGTCCATTGTTTACTTTAGTGCTATTTGGAATAAGAAAAAATAAAAGGATTCTTTTCGTGATTCAGTCTAAATTGAAGTGTCGAAGATGTCAATTGGCTGTTGTCCATCTCCGTGTGATGTGTTGCAGGTACTGTGGAGTGGCTGTGAGGGGGTTCATGAGCATGCAGTTCTCAGGAGTAGTGGCCCCTGGACAGTGTAAGACATTCCACCTGTCTCATCAGTTAGCGAGAGTATACTACTCTGCCATAGCCAGTGCCATAGCACATGGTGTGAGGTTTGCCTTGTGTTGTATTGTGTCGATGATTTGAACCTCTCCCCTACCAGCTGAGTTGCCCTGGTAGCTTAGTTGTGGAGTTCTCGCCTAGACTGCAGAGTGTCGTGGGTTTGAGTCACACTCAGGATATCGCTTATAGCTGTCCTGGACGGGCTTGTTTGCTTCACCTTTACCTTGCTACCTCGTTGTTGACATGTATACTTGTGCCGCATGCAATCTGCAGCGGCCTCGGTGAGTGTTCCAATGGAGGCTAAGCAGTATGCGAGACATCTGGTGGAGCAGTGCATGATGCAGTTCTTTGTTGCTGTGAAAGCCAGGGAGACTGGACAGCTGTTCCTAAAGGTATGTATACAAACTCCTCAGCCACACACAGTCAAAACCTGAGCACATTAAAGTATACACCATAGTGTATATACATCTGCCGTTTGTCTCAGTGGTCCAGTGTTTTCATCAAAGAGTCTAAGTGATGCCCCATTGTGCATTCTAGCCTGAATGGCCTGGTGGTGTATTTATTTTGGTTCCCAGCTCCTTGTTCGTGTCCACATTCACACAAGAGAGGAAAGCAGGCACATGTGCACACAATGACGAGAGAGGGCCGGAAGCCAGCGCATGCACACACTTAAGGAAGGAGCTGGGAACTAGACTAAAGGATATGAGGCTGTGTGACTGTAATGACTAGGGTTACCCATATTATTGGGTCCCAGGTACACCATTACCAGCCTCAGCTACCAAGTGTTGAGGTGAGTTGTGAGGAGTGCCCGGTGACAGTGGGGAAGGTGACAAGAGTGAAGCTGAGCTTCCGGAACATTCTCGCTCGCTCCCTGTCACGCCTCCTGTTCCTGGTACAAGCCCAGGGGCTGTGTCCTCAGAGAGAGCTGGCCTACAGGTTAGTGACAACAGACCACAGACAAGGGTCAACAGGGTCAACCACTGTATACATACTTTCACAACCCCAACAGAGTGGCACTAACTGTAATGAACTACCAATAGCATTAATTTTGTTTCTTCTGTTCTTTCTTAGTAAACCCTGAAGAAACAACCAAGAACCTAAGCTCTTCCGCATTGCTTTCTCAGTCCTTTCTCCTGTCCCATCTTTTCTGCCCATCTCATTTTATCTTAATTCTTTCTTTCCTCATCTTTTCTCTTCCTTTTGCCCCTCCTCCTCCTCGTCCCCATGTATATTATAGACGAATGGTTCTACCAGGTGGTGTGGCTAAAGTGGAGTTTCCAGTAAGAGCAGAGTCTCCAGGAACCTACTACATACTAGCCAGTCTTCACTGTGACCAGCTCACTGACATACACGGCTGGACAAGGATCACTGTGGTACCATCAACACCCCGTAAATAGCCAAATGTGTTGTAGATGTCATACAATTCTATGTTGAATAGCAGTGATTTTTCATAAACATGACAAGTAATTCCGTACATACTGTTCCGTGTCGTGATAGCCTTTCTCAGAGCATTCTCTAACCACGTGTGACAACATTGTCACCACCACTAGTCTCTGCTGTTCTGTGAAGTGTATGAAACTCCGCCCAGCCCCTCGACGAAACGATCCATATCCACCCCCCAACTTTTCCTCAACCAGACTCTTAGAATGTGGGACTCTGAGGAAATCCAGCATCCGGAGGACCTCTCTGGTTGCATTGGACTTGATATCCTCGTAGTACACTCTGAGGAGGGGGCGTGTCTCCTGGTAGTGTGCCAGTCGGAGGGCTGCGTGGCTCCAGCGACGAGACCACTCCCCCACAAACTCTTCCCAGTCCTCATTGCTGCCTGTGAGGACACACACACACAGTCATAGTCAGGCATAGAAGCACAACAGATGCAGCATCCACCTTTCACTTATAACCACAGAATAGTATGCAAAGCACGTAGATATCGTGCATTAAAAAGCTAAAAACAGACAGTCTTATTTTTTGCTGACAGTTTCCATTGGTGCCTAAAAGCATGCTTCAAATTGTGGTGTCCAAATTCTACATTCGGTCATTGTGAATCATTGTGAGCTTAAGACGCATACCCACATGATTGGCTCTGTCCCAATATATCCCATTTAAGGAACGTGGGTCCCAATTTTGTTTCCGTATCCTAGCACCCCATGTCTGAGGTTCAAACTACATTCCCTATCAGTGCTATGTCCCCAGGTTATAAAGCAGGTAACAATACCACTCAAAATTGGATATTGTTTTCTCTGGGCCATCACCTAAACTGGGAGCATGAGGTATCAATAATTATAGTGGTATATAGCCTGTACCAAAGACTTGAGGGGGAGCACTTGCAGTGTGTTTCGAGCCTCCGTCTTTGACTCCTGTCTTCCTGTTCCATTCTGACATGATGGCATCAGCAGGGCACCGCACCAGGTGGATGGCTGCCTTGGGTGGGTGGCAGTGTGTGGGTGTGTGGCATACAGTGTACAGAAAACAGAGTCTCGAGTAAAAGTTCCGTTTTTTATATTTATATTTCCCCCAAACTCGTATAAAAATCAGCACTCTTTCTCTAAATATTCAAGGTACATTTCAGCAAATGCAAAATTTAGCAAAGTTTGATTGTCAACTTTGGAAGTCAGGTTCACAAAATTGGGACCGTGTAGCTAATACTGTCATTACTACAGGGGTTACAAATTAGTGAACTGCATGTTGGCATTGTAGTAAAAAGTGCCCATCAATTGAAAGGTTCACAAATTTGTCATCCAGTTGCTCGAATTTTCAACATAAACCTGCTTATTTTGTCTCTAACCATTGGCTATTCAGCCAAGTGCAAGTGCCAAATGTCTGAATCAACGGTTCCTCTCGTACTGAGTTGAATTACTATTGCAACGACGCTTCATCAGTAGGGTAAAACTAACCTGTCTCACGACGGTCTAAACCCAGCTCACGTTCCAAACCAATACCAAAATAACGTGAGCTGAGTATTTCAAACAAATTCTGAAAATTGGGAAACGGAACTTTACTTGAGACACTGTTAGCTACAAGTCCAACATAACTATACTAGAGGAATGCAATGCATTGTTGGAGAGCGAGTGCGAGCAGTTCAATTGGCTGACTTAGAATCACGTAGAACATTACTGTATGTGTGGCATTGCCGGATAGAAAGAAATGGAAAATTGGTCGGTTGAGACGACTAGGTACAGACTCGCTTCGCTAGCCAATTAAGCTCAATATATACAGCCCTGTTTCCTTAGAGTTTACAGTGTATTGAACATTTGTTCCCTTTGTTCTTCTTTAGTATACAACCCTATATAACATGAGGAAAACTATTCTACCAGCATTTCCAATAGCATTAATCTTGGACACTGTGTTAGCTAACAGCTGTGGCTGAGGTTTCGTGCCAGACTTAGCTACAGAGAGGAGTGACACAAACCACCAGACATGTACCTTGAATGGTTTAATGGATTCATGGGTCTTGACAGCCAACACAGCAGGGCCGGACACACCCTCTCCATTGAAACCACCATTCCTCAGAGAGGTGTCACAGTACACGGAGCCTGTATGTCATACATAAGGAGTGTGCGCTGTGGTTACCTTTCATGGGGTTGACTTGGATCAGAGCCAGCTGCATGCAAAACCATAGCTACAGTACATATTGTTTTCATCCCTTTTCACTACAGGTGGAACCTCCGACAATGGACAGACCCTCTGAGATAGGGATGACCTCTCTAAAACAACACTTGTTTCATAATCATTATTTGACCTCCGTGGGAGGGACGACACCTCTCAAAAAGGGACAAAATTGTTGTTCCCATAGTGTCTCCCACTGTATAAAGCTACATGGTGTGATATAAGTTACGGCTCAACAGCTTTGGTATAGCTAGCTACCTGTGCAAATGCCCGTTGCTTTCTCAAGAAGACCTCTGACCCATGTACTGCCTGAGCCAGGAAAACTTGCCAGTGCGACAGCGTCGCGGACTGCCCTGTCAGTGAATCTGCACGTCCCATTTTCGTGTCTGCTCCGCCGACGTCTCGTACAATCCCTAAACCGTCTTAGTTCAGCCGGTTTCAAATACTCTGTGCACAGGTTGTCATTGCAGTGGTGGATATCTTTTGATTGATTATTCACCAGCTGGGCAGGATTGTTGTGTTCATACGTTGACTGCTCTGAATATGGCTGTGACTGTGGCCTGTTATGAAGTGATGACAATGTTGCTGACTGTCTTCCGCTTTGTATCTGGGGATGTATATTTCCATTTATGTCACCAGTTGCGGGGTGTTCCAGATCATGTGTGCGAAACGTTAACGACTTCACTCCTTGTCGAAAATGCACTGAAAAACATATATCACACATACACAATGGCATAAATGTATTACTTACCTTTTGTGTGTTCATAGCTGGAAGCAGTGAGGGGTGCAACCCTAGTTTGACGCTGAGAGGCACAAGAAAGATCACTGCTACGATTGGTTTCAGTTTTCCGACCATCTCGCATCACCGCTTCGCCTGCGGCACAGCATTTACGTGTGCGCATGCGTCGTTCTACCCGGGAGAAGGCGTGGCCCGGCGAAGATGGAGGTCGAGGAAAACTGCCACAGGAGAATGAATCCACAGTCAAGTCTCAGTCGTTGTGTGAGCCGAGAGGAGCGCGGGGGGTACGACTGTCAGCTGGTTCACCCTCCTCCGTCCCACATCCAGACCGAGTGCTCCGTGTGTCTCCAGATCCTCCGGGACCCGTGTATCGTTAGTTGCTGTGGCCACAAGTTTTGCCGCGTGTGCATCGAGGCCGTCACCGAGATGGGCAAGGACTGCCCGCTCTGCAACGGACACAACTTCTCTTTCATGTCCGAACACTCGCTCAGCAGAACGCTCCTCGACCTGGACGTGTTCTGCTCCGCCCAACCAGACGGCTGCACGTGGACAGGAAAGCTGAAGGACGTCCAGCGCCACCTCAACAGGGCGTACACACTCGAGGACCAGTTGAACGGGTGTCAGTTTATAGACGTTACCTGCGTTCACCCGGGCTGCGGTGGGATCATGCACCGACGGCATGCTGAGGCCCACCAGACCGGTGAGTGTGGGAAGCGGCCGCACACCTGCCAACACTGCCAGTCCTACACATCCACACACGAGGAGGTGACAGAGACCCACTACTATGTGTGTGACAAATTTCCCGTTCAATGCCCCAACGGCTGCTCCGTTTTCCCCATCCAACGATGTCGCATGGAAGAGCATCTGAGAAACAATTGCAATCTAGTGACAATAGTATGTCCATTCCTTTATGCCGGATGTGAGGTGAGCCTGCCTAGAAAGGAGATGCAGAAACACACTCTAGACGTTACCACCCACTTCCCAATGCTGGCTGATGTAACTCAGAGACTGGTGTGCGAAAACACCGAGCTACAATTCCGTGTGGCCAAGCTAGAAAGAGATAAAGAGGAGAGGGAGAGGTTCGTGATGACCAGGATCTTTCAGCTGTCCAGTGCCTGCTGTGCCAGCCACCACTTCATCCGCCACACAGAGCTACGACGGCAGAACGAAGGTGGCCCTTTTGTGGTGGACACAACGATCGGCTCTTTCGTCATGAACGCTGCCATAAACAGTGATACGGTGTCAAAGACATTTGAAATGGAGATGCGCAGCATGTACTTTGCGGTACTCCCGTACGAATTCAAGATGGACAACTTTCTAAACTACATCAAGGGTGGCCCAATCGAGTACTCCCCTATCTTCTACACACACTCTTTCGGCTACAGGTTCCGGGTTAAAGTTATGCGCACTGAATACTCGAAGCTGTTGTCACTCGAGGCTTTCACGTCGGTGTACGTCGAGATTCTGGCCGGTCCGTTTGACGACCGACTCAACTGGCCTTTCAAAGGTTCGATAACCATTGCCGTAGTCAACCAACTCGGTGACTGTAACCACTACGCGGCGAGTGTGTGCTTCTGCAATGAGACATATGAGAGTAAAACGAGGACCCGACCGGAGAAAGGGAGTCCTGTTAGTATCGGTCTCAGGCCCTTCATCTACCACAAGGACCTTCGCACCAGGCACAGTAAGGACGGGCTCCAGACCCACTACCTGCACAATGGCTCACTGCACTTTCGCGTTACCAAGATCGAACTCTCAAAAAACGAATTTGAAAATTCTCTATGCTGAATACTGTCTGCATAGCTCTACTTGAAAACCTGACCATGTGCATGACTCATGAAAAAATGATTGTGTGAATCTCTGCTGATTTTATTATGTTGCTGTATAAATGTTATCCACAAATTGCGCCAAGTTCCACGAGTGCCTTTTAGAGTGTCGGTGGATGCTCTTTGGATGGCAAAGTCAAATCGTTCGTGATCTGTGTACCAAAAGCCTAGTCAAAACTTGGCGAGAATGACTCGCACTGTCTCCAAAAAACACTACTGCGGCATCTAGCCATCCATAGTTCAGCATAGCTAAATAATGACAAAATATTTTGAAGGGATGGCTTGAAACAAAAAATAAAGGAAAAAGGGTTAATTACACAGCAAAGACACAAAGCTACTTGTCACCATCCCCATGTTATCCCTGATTATAGGGATGGTGTCATGTAGTTTTTGTGTGTGTTTGCTGTGTAACCCTTTGTTTCTTTGCTTCTAGCCATCCACCCCTTTGTAGTTGTGCATGTGGTACTGCCAGAGATGACAGCAGAACGAGTCTAGAGACCCTGGACTGGAGATAGCTAGTGGCCAACAAACAAATGCAATGTATCTGTTGTTAGCAACACTTGCCATATCAGAGACATGATCAATAATTGGCACACTCATGTATTTGCGATCATTATGTGGAACACCTACATTTTTTCGGTGGAATATCAGTAGCTAATAATGAATGCAGGAAAGGTATACGGTAATGGTGGCTAACCTGTTTGTTGCGGTTATGTATCAAGGGTTGAAAAGGAAAAGGAAAGAAGATTTCAAAATTATTGTGCTGCTTTCTACAGCACTTTTGTCATTGATAATATTATCTGTTATGCAAAATGCTCTCATTATCACATGAAGGAAGCGCATCAGTTGAACAAAAAATTGTCTCTATAGTCTGTTATGGTTACTCTCCATACACCAGCTAAGGAAACTGCCAGTTTTTTGTGATCTTGATATAATAGGAGCATCAGAGGATATAGCTTTAGATATAGCTGCACCTGCACTGACTGAAGTACCTAGTGTACAATGAGGTGTCACAAGATAGTTGTAGTGGCAACACTAACACTTGCCCTAATGGATATTGGGACCTCTCAATGTGATGGTGAGTATAATAATTAACAATGACATTTATAGTAAATTTCTGAATCTCTCTTAGTTGTGAGACTAGCTGCAACAGTACATGAGACACTGAGTCCATTCATGACTGAAATGAGGAGAATCTGGCTGCTGTTACGACAGAAATGAGGGAGAGTCTGGCTGCTGTTAACACTAAAGTTGATTCTCTGAGTAGAGATCTTAAAGAAGACAAGAACAAGACGACTACTGAGCAAAATATACTCACCAATGTTACAAAGCAACTGAAGAAAACGGCAGAATACGTTCTCCAACATTCACGCACATATGAATGTGGAGGTACAGGAGGTTGGAGACGTGTGGTCTACCTGAACATGACAGACCCCAAAACCAACTGTCCCTCTGGCTGGCAGCTCACTAGTCATTCCAAGAGGACATGTGGTAGAGTTAATACTGGTTATAGTCTCTCCTGTGACTCAGTCTTCTTCTCTGTCAGTGGAGGAGACTACAGCAGTGTGTGTGGCTCTATCATAGCCTACCAGGACGATGCAATGGATGCATTTGAACCGTATGATGAACAACGGGTCACAACCATTGAAGGAGCCTATGTTTGCGGTGTCAGTCTCACACATGGCAGTCCACGGCAACACATCTGGACATTTGCAGCCGGTGCTTCTGAGGCTCTGCCCACCTATAATGACGTCTGTCCTTGTGATGCTATTATCAACATTACTGTCCCCTCATTTGTGAGTGGAGATTATTTCTGTGAATCAGGAGCCAACTCTGGGTCAGCTACTGGCTTTCATCCAGATGATCCTCTCTGGGACGGTGAAGGCTGCAGTAGCCACAGTAGCTGTTGCTCTTTCAATGAACCTCCATACTTTACTAAGCATCTCCCCAGCCCTACCACTGACCCTATAGAGGCCAGACTGTGTCGATGGGAGACTATTGATGATTCTCCAGTTGAGTTCATGGAACTCTATGTCAAGTAGTACAGCCACTCACAAGAGACACAAAATCACATGCAGCCGAACTATACATAGCTACCATAAGAGTGGACCGATGTTAATACCTTGTATATAAACTCATTGTAGCTATGCACAAGTTTACTTGTACAGTTGTCAAAGCTGTGGCAAACACTTTTATTAACCCTCGGCGCGCATGCGCAGCGAGGGTTACAGTACTTGTTCTGTCCGTCTTAGCTGTCCGTCCGTCACGTTTTCTGCCACCACGCGCGACAAACAGGTAAAATAGCGACACCAACGGGTTCAGCGCTACACCGCTTCATTTTTTAAATGCCGAATTTTGTAAGAGTTCCGCGTTCAGAAGTTATGGCATGAAAACCAAGTGAACAAGCCAATGTGCAAATTAGCAAAGGCTTACCTCGACCGGGTCCGCTTGCTCTGTGTACCTTGGAGGCACAAGAAGTCACAACGAAGGGCGTTTATCGACTCCCGCATGCTATCTACTACTGTAGCTAGCCCGTGTCGGACTCTTCGCGAGCTACTCCGCGAGTAAACGCATACTATATAGAAATAGCCCAGCCCATCAATTAGCGGTACGGCGCATGCGCAGTTCGACGAGGGTTTGCACTTTAGTGCTTTTCATGCAGCAATAGTGATGGATGGAATGTGGTGAGAGTGTGCTGGCGGTGACAGATGTGAGGCCTTTGGGGGTGTGGGTGAGGTGATTGTGACGTGGTGAGGAGTGGGAGGGAGGGAGGGAGAGGGTGCCTGTGAGAAGAACTGTAGGTGCAGGCTGCGAGCTGCATTCTATTTTTCATTCGCATCAAGGTGCCATTTTTTTCACGCCACCTAACATAGAACAAAAAGGAGCTCATTTGAAATTGGAATTGTATAGCTGTAGGGTAGAGGCTCTACACTAATCCTCCACACTGTTTTATTACTAAAGATTTCATGGAAATCTCCAGTACCACATATCCATAAAGTGAAGGACAATGCATCGCTACCAGTAGCTAAAAGTGTTGCCTATTGCACCACCAGGCACAATACCCAGTGGTGTGGTTAAACTGGTACATGTCAAAGGGTGAGACAAACGTAGCTGAAGATATTTTTGTGGTAGCTATATACATCCTAGCACACTTTTATACATCATGTGTAACATGGTATCTGTTACGAGATAATGTCACATGGTGGGAGCATCAGTTGAACAAATATGTTGTTATGGATACAGTCCATTCATCGGACAAAAAACTGACAGCTAGTTCATTCAGCAGATAGATAACTGTTAGCTATTCCATTCATCACATAGAAAACTGTCAGCTAAGTTGTGATCTTATCAGAACAGTCTATGGTGAGACAATGAAGACTTTGCTGGTCCTAGTGGGAGTCCTTACACTCTCCCTCACAGATATTGGAGCCTCCCAATGTGATGGTGAGCAGTAATGCATATGGCAGTAGTATAATTGCGCTCTGAATCTCTCTTAGTTGTGAGGCTAGCTGCAGCAGTACATGAGACACTGAGTCCATTCATGACTGAAATGAGGGAGAGTCTGGCTGTTGTTACGACAGAAATGAGGGAAACCGCGGCTGCCGTTAAAGAAAACCTGACCATAATTGAAGGTCAAGTTAATTCTCTGAGTAGAGATCTTGAGGACCACAAAAACAAAACAACTACTGAACTGGCTGCTATTGACTCTAAGTTAAACTCTCTGGACTCTAAACAAGATGGTCTCAGCATGACAGTGATGACTGTGCACTCTGAACAGGAGCATAATGTACTGACTAATGTTACAAAGGAACTGAAGAAGACTGCTGACTATATACTTGGACATGTGCCCACATTTAAATGTGGAGGTACAGGAGGTTGGAGACGTGTGGTCTACCTGAACATGACAGACCCCAACACATACTGTCCCTCTGGCTGGCAGCTCACTAGTCACTCCAAGAGGACATGTGGTAGAGTTAGTGGTGGTTATGGTCTCTCCTGTGACTCAGTCTTCTTCCCTGTCAGTGGAGGAGACTACAGCAGTGTGTGTGGCTCTATCATAGCCTACCAGTATGGTCAGATAGATGGATTTGAGTTATACCACGATGGACGAGCAACCACAATCGAACAACCCTATGTTTGCGGTGTCAGTCTCACACACGGCAGTCCACGACAGCACATCTGGACATTTGCAGCTGGTTCTTCCGAGGCACAACCTACTTGGGAAGATGCCTGTCCATGTGATGCTAGTATCAGTATTACCATCCCACCATTTGTTGGTGAAGACTACTTCTGTGAGTCTGGTGACCTCTCTGGCTCACCTGTTGGAAACTTCTATCTAGATGACCCTCTCTGGGACGGTGAAGGCTGCAGTAGCAACAGTAGCTGTTGCTCATTCAACAAACCTCCATACTTCACTCAGCGACTCCCCAGCCCTACCTCTGACCCTATAGAGGCCAGACTGTGTCGATTGGGTCTTGATGATTCTCCAGTTGAATTCATGGAACTCTACGTCAAGTAATAGCTATAATAGTCCTTTGGACTGAACATGTGTGAGACCCAGTTACTGTGTACTCTCAACTTGACGTGTGATAATTGTATTCATTATTAACCCTCGGCACGCATGCGCAGTGAGGGTTACAGTACTTGGTTCGTGGGTGTGTCTGTCTGTCTGTCTGTTACCATGTTTTCTGCCACCATGTGCAAGAAATCCACCAAACAGCGATAGTAACGGGTTGAGTGCTACACTGGCTTGATTTTAAAAGAGGCAATTTTGTATAACTACTGCATTCAAAAGTTATGGCGTCAAAAGCAAGAGAACAAGCCAATATGCAAATTAGCACAAGGTTTATATACCTAGCCCGGGTCCGCTCACTCTGTGAATCTTAAAGGCATAAGAAGTCACACGAATGGTGTGTATCAACTCCCGCATGCTATCTACTACTGTAGCTAGAAGTGTGCACTGACTTTCAGGTGAAGGAAACCCCTTTAAAAAGGACACATAGGCAAGTTCCAAATGTGCCCCTTCTTCGGACGTACGAGGACACTCACATAAACAATGCAGCAGCTATACCCTACCATAATCCAAAGTATAATACAGCTATTGTACATTTTTGATCACTAAGGTTAAGTTGCTCCTACTAGCATGCAATAATTACTCATAAATAATGGATATCCTGATGAGAGTGACAAAATGACTACAAAATAGATACCTTGTGACAGACAATTTGTGGAGAAAGTGAAAACGGAATCATAGATACATAGAGAGATGATTTCAGAGGTATTCGTCTATTCTTGGAAACATGTCGTAGATGCCGTTGTCCTTCATAAACTGGGATGTGGTGCCGACGACATTGCTAACAAACCTCTCTTGACGCAGGGTGAAGTGAGTGAAAGTGCTCGTGTGGTTGCGATAAAAGTTGGAAAACCCCACCCTCAACCTCTCGCCCACCTCCGCCTCGGTGAGCGAGAACCCGAGAAAGTCGCTCACCCTCTTCATCTCCCCGACAGTGTTTTTCTTTAGGTCCTCAAAGATTAGGACGTAGACTGGGCGCTCCGCGGACTTTGCCTCTAGCAGAAGGTTCACCATCTGTTGAGGCCAGCGAGGTAGCTTCAGGTGGATGTACTTTTCCCACATTTCGTTATCTCCTGTAATGAAAGGGGCCAGCTAATCACCCAGCTATTCTATCACCACAATGCATTACTAGAGCGAATGCAAGGTATTTTTGGTGAGCGAATGCGGGGACGACAGAGATGATAACAAAATTTGATTCTGTTTCATATATTTTGTGTGATCATCATCATAGTCATCGGATAACATGGAAAAACCTCATGCAGACGACTAAGCAGGCTCGTTTCACTTGCCCAGAAAAAACACCAGCAGTGGATGCAGGGATATGTCTGTGCATGCTGAGAAAGACACAATTCTAAAAAAATGGTCAGATGGGTCTGATGCACATCAGTATAGAGCTAGAGTATACAGTGGAACCTCCGAGATAGGGACACTTAGGGTAAACGCCTTGTAGAGAGGTTGTCCCCATCTCGGATGTTTGTGTTATTTCAGCTTACTAGGAATGCGCACGCGCACATTTTGCCTCGCGCCTGCCAGCCAATGCGTAAACAGTCCTACTGAGGCCGCTCGTGCCCGCGCTCTACTGACTGCGCGCGAAGCCAGACTTCCTACGAATATGCGCACACGGCGGAAGCTGACTTCCTACGAATGACGGATGTTGACATTCCTAAGCGTGACTAATTGACATTCTTGAGTGTGACGACACGTACATACGTACGTATGCATATCGCGAGAATAACTCGGCCTCACGCTAACGCGCTCGGCAATAAACCCCTCTTGGGGTGATTTAACACAATTTTATTGATTATGCACGATCAAGACTGATGTATAGCTACACTGCGCAAGGCGTTCACATGAAAAAAGCGCTGATTGTGGCGATGGGTGTGGTTTCCCGGTCTTTGCGCTTGCGCTAGGACCTTTCGCTGTGCTCACTGGGAAAGACTAGCGTAAACCCACGCTGGCAATATTCTTTGCAACATATAGCGTGTGGCTCGCTCTTCAACTGGAGTGTGAGTGCAGTGGGAGTGGCTTCTCTGTCCGCTCTCGGAGGCAAAAATGTATGGGCTGAGTCAGTCCTGGGCACGGTTGGTGTCCGTTGTCCTGATCTCAGAGGCAAAATGCGTCCGCTTTTCAGAGGTTTCTAATGTATACAAATAGCCCCAGGCAATACATTAGTATTAGCTTTACCCAGTTAGCACACTTTATTTGTCTCTATCATAATGTATTGCCTGGGGCTATTTGTTGTTGTTTACATGTAAACAAAAACATGTAAACAAAATTGAAATAAAAATGCTCTTGCACGACCTGTCATGGATTCCAATATCTGTGCAAAGTTTCATATCTATACCTTACTCGGTTTTTTAGATACGCTTGTCTAAACTGAACAACAACAACAACAACAAGAAGAAGAAGAAAATTGAAAAGTGACTTATTCAAGTAGCTATATACTTATTATGCGATTTAAGCTATTTCTTGGATACATGCTCTTTGTTACAATACGGATCAGTCTCATATGTCAAAAGTTGGATGTGATTGAAATAGAAAGTGAAACATGAAAATCTCAAATGTATGGGCATAATGCAGGACAACCTGTGTCATCCCGCACCCCACACATCGCACGCATGCAGTAAAATGAATACTGTAAACATGAACTAAAGAGGAGGAGGAAAACACGAAATGCCATCAAGGGTCTGTTTCCTTGTGTTACATTGCTACTTTTGGGGCACAAGGAAGTGGTACAACAGCTAACTCCTGTTGGCTTGCCATTATAACCTTTTGAGGAGAAAACGAGATTCCACGATTCAGATTTCACGGAGGTATATAATTCTCACCAGTTACTCTTTGCAACGAACAAATGCTCCCCATTCACAATAAGTGCAGATAAATCTTTCATGCTTGGTCACGAAACCCCAAAACTGATGAAGGTCTGTCCCTCGTAAGTCAGATAATACCGGTATCTGACCAGAGTGCCTAGCTCGTATAAATCAGAGAAATCTGATTGGTCTACTGATTTTCCGTAGTATACCTGGGATGCTCTGTAGTAAACCTTGTTTTCGTGCAAATTATGACATGATCACGTACAAAATGTACATAAACACGTATATAGCTTTATATCGTTTCAACACTATGCACAGAGAGATAACAATGGCCCAGCTACACGTAAGTGCCAGTGCTAGCAGTACAACGTGGAGGCCCTGAGGTTCATTGAAATCCCATAGTCCCTCAAACTCATTAAGTATGTAGTATGTCGCTATATACAGTCCTCACCAAAGTACTCCTCCCCGACGTAGGTGAAGTGATTGCTGACATTGGGCGAGATCATCCTCTTGGAGCGCTCCCTGTTCCACTCGGCCACCAGGGCTCCTCGAGGGTCCCTCACCAGTAGAATGGCCGCTCCGTAGGGGACCCGCGTGTTGCTGAAGACGTGTCCCCCGACAAACTGGACCTTCAGGTTGTGTGTCTTCATGGCAATGACGCTGGGGCCCTGTATCCCCTCACCTGTGAAACCTCCCGCTCTCAGACTGCAGTCACAGTACAGACTACCTGCAAGACAGTACGAGGGCAATGATGTTTTATGGCAAGTGAACACAAGTGGGTCACGACTTTTCGCCCACTCTATGTAATATATTCCACATGTGCATTGTAACTGGGAGATACGTCTGCTATATATAAATCAGGTAATTAAGACAACTGGTAGGCTAATTTTGCTCTCAAATAATACAGTGGAGCCTCCCATAACGGACCCTCCGAGAAGCGGACAAACACTAAGAATGGATTGAAACTACCGCTGAGATAACGAGAAGAGGACGTATTTTACCTCCGAGATCAGGACAACAGACACCAACCGCGCCCCGGACTGACTCAGCCCATACATTTTTGCCTCCGAGAGAGGACCGAGAAGCCACCCCCACTACACTCCCACTCCAGTTGAAGAGCGAGCCACATGCTATAATTATGCTGCAAAGGTCATCGGCAGCGTGGGATTACGCTAGTTATTGCCCAGCGAGCACAGCGAAAGGTCCTAGGACAGGGAAACCGCACCCATCGCCGCAATCTGTGCTTTTTCACCTTGCGCTGTGTAGCTATTCATCAGTCTTCTCGTGCATAATCACGAAATTGTGTTGAATCACACTATACCATCCCTCTATGCCTCTTTTTTAAAATTTGCAGGATTATTAATTTACTTGTACTAAGTAGTACCATACTTAGTGAACAATTAGTTGTTGCTAAGCATGCCAGTGGGTCTTTTAAGCAGGAGCGACAAATTTGGAGGTGGAGTTTCAACTGCGCAAATAGGCTCATTCAGTTTATATTACACACATAATACGTAATACTACGTATGGTATAATTATGGTACATGCTCTGCTTGCCAATTAGAATACAGCATGTGTGTAAGGTTGAAAGAAAATATGCTGAAGGTGTATTAATGTGTAACCTGTGATTGTGGTGTGTGTACAGGTGTTTACTCTACCACTAAAAGTCAAAATAAGGTTTCCTGGCAGACTCTAGCAGGTGTCTGTGTGATAAGCCTCATGGTACACCACAATGGAGGTTAATTTCGACACTATAGCAGTGCAAACACAGTTAGTTGGAAGAGACCCAAGTAAAGCCTTAGAGCTGGACATGAAACGTTTGCATAGAGAGACATTGTCAAACACGTTTAGCAGGTCAGTGTAGTCAAAGGTGCTCCAAATTAAAGTTAAAGCTAGCACGTATGTCACTGCAGCCTGCAGCCGTGGAGGATAAATCGTGAATTAGTTAGGAGTGTGTGTTACAGTGTCCTGTAGGATGATACAACTCTGATTAACTAGTGGGTCTTTCCACACTCTCATAGACAGGGTCCTACAGCATGCTAATAACAGGCAAAAAATGCTCGTCCTTCGCCCCATTTCAAGGAAAAA